CTTCATCCACCAGCTGGGTCACCAGGTCATAGAAGGAGATCAGGTTGGTCAAGCAGGACCTGCCTTTCATGAACCCATGCTGGCTGGGCCTGATCCCCTGGTTGAGCTGCACTTGCCTGTTGAGTTCACTCAAGATGAAACGCTGGCACCGAGGTCAGGCTGACAGGCCTGTAGTTCCCCAGGTCCTCCTTCTGGCCCTTCTTGTAGATGGGCGTCACATTGGCAAGCCTCCAGTCATCAGGGACCTCCCCTGTTAACCAGGACTGCTGATAGATGATGGAAAGTGGCTTGGAAAGCTCCTCTGGCAGCTCCCTCAGTACTCTCGGGTGGATCCCATCTGGCCCCATTTTGAAGTCTTTGATCAACTTGGACACAGTAGTAAGGCAGCAATCCTTTGTGTCTGCAGGGAGCTATCACCATTCCCCAGTTCTTTGAATGAGACACTGGATAATAGACACTCATTGCTGAAGAAGTCAGAGCAGGGAATTATATGTGGGTTAAACTCAGGTATCCTGGATTCTGCAGTATTGCCCAATCCTTTCCCTTTTTCCATAAGGAAAAGGGTTCATAAAAGGAAATGACTGTTAAGAGCTTGATGAAATGTGTTTTCAGAGTTCCTGTCCTTTCCACATCACTGGAAAGTGCAGATTTCAACTTCACAGAATGTGCTTTGTAAAAATTAAACTCCTGTATCTTCTCTCTGTGGCTGCAAGAAAAATCTGGGCTACATGATCACTGAAGTTGCAGCTGTTGAGCTGTTCCTTGTAAGTTAATCCTTGGAACAGGAGAGATGTTTCACAGCAGCCAATCCTGAACATAGAACAATGGTTTCATGCTGAATGTACAAATTTCATATATCCCTTATATTTGGAGGCTGATACAGTGATGGACAGAACCTCAAACCAGCTTTGCTGGCCAAGCTGGAAAGTTCTGCTGCATACTTGTTCAGCTGTATGATCAGCTAGCTACCTGGGATAAAAATGCCTCAGCCCCACTAGTTGGGCTTTTCTCAACTTGGCATCATAAGGTTCAACCGTAAATCTCTGTAAATACTGAAAATATACTATAAAATAACTTATTTTATAACTATTTATAGTTATATAACCTTCAGACACAGAGGAGATGGTTCCTTTTTGAACTGCTTCTGATATCTCATGGCTGTTCCTGCTCTTAGCCTTGCTTATTCAAACATCACCTCCTGGCTACAGAAACTGAGGCACCACAGCTGCTTGCCCTCTGACCGATCCTTCAGCTGAGTGAGGTCCATGGTTTTCTGAGACAATGTATCTACCTGAATTTAAATACCTTTTTTTTTTTTTCTCAGAAACAACAGCAGAATTCCACATGCAACACAAAAATGACTTGCATAGTTAACACTGTAGCCCAGTTCATTGCTGTATTCTCTTGCCTCTTCCAAGCTATCCTAAAGTATCCTTAACAAACCTGAAACAGAAATGCAGCTTGAATTCTGTTGCAAATGCACTTTGACTCCACTACCTATCATGACTGTCCCCCATTGTAGGGATGTGTCCAAAACCAGAAGTCCATTGAAGATTGTATTGGTCTTATTGGAGTGGTTGGCATGAGTGCTGGATTTACACAGGTAAAAATTCTGTCCTGCTTCCAAATAGAAAGTTACAGGTTTTAGCAAATGTAACCAGGGCTGGTGGGGAAACAAAGTTTGGTGTTGGAATCTAGCCAGTTAGCTCAATTGGTTAGACGAGACTGAAAAGTTCTTAAAAGTAGTCTGGAGAGGACTGTATCTCAGTCCATGGAAGATACAGGCCTGAGGTCTACTTGCTTGCAACAAGGATGAATCCTATAACTCCCAACGACAAGCACTTGTCATATCCTGGATGGTGAAGAGCAGCAATCTAGGCTGCAGTATGAGCTACTCCAATATTCCAAGCATTGGTGTTCACAAAGGTGATGCCTTTAGTCCATAGTGATTTCTACCTTGTTACTATGGGAATGAGAAGAAATAACTTTTAAATTGTTTTAGGCACCAAAGATAAATATTTCTTTCCACTCAGTCACCTGGGATCTTATTTGCTATGTACTTCTGAGAATATGCCAGTTCGAGTGGTCAAAATGTGCAGACTCCAGGATTTCCTTTATTTATATACAACACATGAAAAGAACAAATTTTTAAGAGATGTTATCATTATTTATCTTCTATTGAGCCTTACTGAACACTAGAGCTGCGTTAACTTCCACAGTTTCAATGTCCTTATCTTGAGTTGAACCCTGGAAGCCCTTCCCCCCTTTTAAAGACTTACATATTTGATCTCGCTGGCTTTTGCTTCCACAACAGTGCACATGCATAATGCCCATATATGGGAAGTTTTATATTTCATTTAAAGTTGCTATAGCTCTGATTGACATATCCAAGTACAAAACAAAGAACTAAAGACTCCTTCTTCCTATTTCTTCTTCTTAGCTTCTCCTCCTTCTAAGAGAAGGATACATATTATAAACCTGCTCATACCTCATTATCCCCAAAAATGTTTTCCAGTAGTCATCTCATGCTTTGATAGAACTAACTTCATAATGATGAATAGGACACAGGTAAGATGGGGTAACATCCTCCCTGCCGAGATAAAAGTGAATGTAAATGCTCTCAATGCGAGAAGAGCATGCTTAGACATCTTGACACCACAGCTGCTTTATGCAGATTGCAACTAGCTTAGGACAAATATCCTCCTTCAAATGGCGTAACAGTCCTGGCTGCAAGAATAAAACTGAATTAGTTTGTCTACTAATGAGTATTCTTCCAACCCTTTCTCAGCCTTCTCGTGAGTTTCAAAGACTAGAATTTATTGTAGCTTGTCTTTAATGCATGCCATAATCATCATTTAAATTTTGCTTTGCTTCTACACTGAAACTGTTTGTAAACATTTAATGAAAACATGTTCACTTTCATACCATCAACCTTATTTGAATCTGAGCACGGATAGTGTGGAGAGTAATAAGAAATCCAGGCCAAGCCTTAAAAGCATTCTAAATCACTGAAGTCACTATTTAGTCTAACTTTCCTTTTTCAAAGTAGGAGTGCCAGTTGGCATCTTCTGTAGTATGTGTTGTCTTCATACCTTTTTATTGCTCAGTTACTAGTAACTAAAATAATCACAGAACTGCTCCACGGCACAATGTATGGATAGTGCTCTAACTTTAAAACATGTTCATTCAAGCAACTAATCATAGGAAAAAAATAAAATTCTTCGAAGTGGTAATTTTTGTCCTACAAGGAAACATAAAAGAAGAGGCCAGCACCAAGAAGCACAGTAATGTTTTCTAGGAAACAAAAATAAGCAACACTGCAGAAAAAGCAGTCTTACATTCAGGTCCTTATACTGCTGTTCCCTTTCCAAAGATACTTTCCCTGAAAAACTACGCGTCATGAAAAACAGTATTCAAGCACTGCTAAGGGTGTAAGAGGAACAGACTGGTGGCAGTAACACCACCTTCTCGTACCTCTAACTTAAAAACTTCCACGATGCATATTCTTGGCGTTGAGATCTGGAAAGCCCTGTCAAGAACAATGGACTGGAATCATTCCGCCCTCCGCTCCCACTCCTGCGAGAGCCAGTTTGGGCGACTCAGTCCAGACTCTCTGTATGTAAGCCCAATAGATGTTTGACACCTCAACACCTGCGGGATTTCCATGACTTCCTCACACTGCATATTTTAAGTGCTTTGCTAACTGTACTGGTTTGCCAGCTTTCACCAGTGCCTAATTTGCCTCCTTTCTGTCAGCTGAAGCCTCTTATTGCTTCTGTTTCTCAGCATCAGACTGTTCTATGTTTATCTACTGGTACTATATTCTCTTTTACTTTAGATAAAATCAGCATCTGTAAAAACTATGACCTAAAACGAAATTGTAGAAAAGAACAGAACTTTGATGGTTCTTTTCTTGCTGTCATTTGGACTTTCCATTAAATCAACTTCTTTCTTCAAGTACAATGCTCAACACCAAAAATTGAGTTTTACCAGTGACGAGTGAAGAAGGATTACTTCATGTATTTTATAGGATCTACCATATACTGCAAATCCCATATGATGGCTGCAATTATTTTTTTTTTTTAAACAGCATGATCCTGACTTATCAGTTGTAACTCTCAATGTTCCTGCAGAGCTGCTCTGTAGCTAGCTCTTCCCTGGCCTCTACCTGTGGAACCTCTTGCCCATGTATGGTACCTGTTCTTCAGAAAACAAAAAAAAACCCTGTTAAACAAAGACATTTAATTTAGCCTTCTGCACCTAAGTTCCTCTCTAAAAAAAAACAGCTTGAAGAGATCTGCGTAGTCAAGGCAGAACACTTCTTAAGGTCAAGGCAGCTCCACTCTCACCAGTTAAACTCCCACTTCTTGATTAAACTCAGCTTGGATTAAGAAGCAATGCAGCTGAATAAGAAGTCCGGCCCACCTGTTTCTTTGATATTGACACTACTGTTTGCACACCTTCATGGTGAACCAGAACAAGGAGCTAATTTCTTGAAATATATGGTCATAACCAAGGAAAATAACTGCATCCATTATGTAACAGTCAAATAATAATGAAATAAAAATTTCTCTTTATCACATCTGCAACTGACTTCAAATGCATCTCTCAATGCTGTTCTTACTACTTTGAAAAAGCACACAGAAAAAACATGCAAGTGTACTTTATGATTTAATAGAAAAACTGTATTACTAACAGCACACCTGTTTCTTAAATAGTTATCAAGTGCTGTTGTAAGAATTAATTTTGCAATTAAAGAGTATAAACCTAAGTCATAATTTAAAAAAAGGCATTTATACCAGTTATTTCAAGTTGCACACATCAAGGGAAGCAGCACCATAGCTTAATGAGGAACAAATCCCATCCATAATTTAAACAGGTAGAAACAAGTCATTCCATACCAAAAAACACATACATTCGTATCAGTACCATACTTACTAATATACTTCAGAAAAGCCTAAATAACCCAAACAAGTGCACGCCATTATGTTTCCTCACACTCATTGTTTCATAATGCTATTTTGCAGAGTTCTTTGTAACCTAGCTATGTTGGCATCCAAGGCTGCTAAGCTATTCTTAAAGTCCTCTTCATCTCGAGAAGTAAATGTTGAGAAAGAGGATGCACTCCATTCAGACTTCCCTGACATATCATCAAACGAAATGGAACTAAACCCAGCTATTTCACTGCCTTTTTTCTGAGAAATCCCTTTCGGAAATAGCATTGGTACGCAAGGGTATGTACCAGGCTGAGGTTGGTCTTGTTTATCTGTGAAGTCTTTTGCAGCTCCACTTGGAGTGCCTTTTGGCCTCATTTGGACTTCGTCTCCTTCTGGCTTCACTTTATCCCCTGTAACTTCAAGCGTATTTTCCACAGTCTTTTTCACACTGTACCCAGCATTTAATTTATCCAGAATAGTTGGATCCTTTGCAATCTCACATCCATTCTGCTGCACATAGTTTGAGAGCTCACAGTGGTAGTCTAACATCTTACAAGCTCCTCTACTTTGGGGTAGCACACCAGTTCTTTCAGAGATTGGCTGCTGTTTTTTTGAGGCACTGCTAGTCAATGGAATATAAACAGTCTCATCTAACTTGTTTTGGTCATCTAGTAAAGTCCCAGAATCACTAACGGTTTCTGCATCTTGTTTCAGTGAGGTCAGTAGTATTCTGGGAGCTGATGTTCCTCCTTCTGAGAATGTACTGTTTATTTTACTTCCTTCAGCAGCAAACTTTTCATACGCTAGATTTTGCATTTCTAATTCTCCACTTCTATTTGAGAACTGAAGTTCTGTATCTGTCAAAATATGATCCATTTCTAATTTTTTAAGGTAAGTCATTACTGAAGTACTCCCAGGAAACGGATCAGGTTGTATCTGCTTTTCATGGTCTTCCAAAAGAGACTTCGAGAGACCTTTTTCAGGTTTGGGTCTAACGTTGTCTACTGTGAGGTCAGACAGAAGCTTGGCCATACTGCCCTGCAAGGTCCTGTTAAGATACGATCAATTAACCAGATTTAAAAATAGTCACTAAAAAAAGTTAAAAATTTTTATATAACATCAAAACATTAGATTTATCAGACTGCAGTAAAGTTACAATTCTCTTTCTACATGTTGTCATAAAACAATATAGATGTGAACCAAATCCAATTTCTTTAATTTCTTTCTTCAGCTCAGCTCAATGTGCCTTTAAAGTAACTAAAACAGCACAACCCAATGAAGTTCTCGAGATTATTGCTGATTTACCTGCTTTGAGTACTACAAAATGAAATAAACTGATGTCAAGAAACTGTTACAAAGCATATTGAAACAGTTATCAAAATCAGTGAGAAATGTTTTCTTCCCATTGCATCTAAATATAAAAAATATAATAAAAGAAATAACTCTTCTCACTTTCTGCTTTGTACATAAAAAGAAATGAACGCTTAAATGCTTGCTTATATAGCATATACGTATACACATGTAATAAGACATCATTATACTACCATCTGGTGGTCAGTACAGTAGTCATAGAAGCGTGTAATGTGTCTAAACTTCTACAGAATCTGAAGTGCTGATTAAAAATATTCTGCCATTCCAATCAGTATCAACTATAAACAAGACAGACAACAATTTAACTTCCTGTGCGCATCATGTCCAAACAAATTTTACGTATATACCACTTTGCATGTGCAGAAAGCTATTTAAGTCTCTCATCTTGCCACTGTATTAATCATAAAAGACCAAGATGAAATAAATTCACAGTAATAGTTCTAAAAAATTGTGAGTAACACCACCTTCATTCAGTGATCCAAGAACTCCCACCTTTACCCATAATTAATATGTGGGCATAACCTACTTCAAATGTGTGTACAATTAAAGAAAGTGCTGCTCATTCCCACAGGAAGAGCTTGCTGTGGGTCCTGAAGACAGATCTTTCTGCAAGACTTTTGCAAAACAGACCAAATTCTGAACCAGCGTGAAGGAAGACAGACAGACAGACAGACAGACAGACAGACCGACCGACCGACCCTCCTCAATTCAGGTTAAGAGTTAGTTTCCAGACTCTAGCTTCAGGGGAAATATCAGTAGGTTTTCAGGTCCATGCACTTCCCTATGGAGCTGCTTATCAGCAGGTCTGCTATGAAAAGTTAAAACTTAGCACAAGTTACGGCAGATAGCATTTTACTTTACAACAGAACTCAAGTCACAGAGCATGACAACTCTGTTTTAACAAAATTACAGCACCACTGTAGCAAAAGTAGCTACAAAAAGAAGTTTTAGCCTACATGACCTACCACCACCAAGACACTAAGATTACAATAATCCAAAGGGGCACAAGTGTGATGTCAAGAGGCAAAAAATAGCTTAGCCAATAGTACCTGGTTAATTCACGCAGCCTGTTAACTTCTGCATCACGCTGACGTAATGTTATGCCCAAAATCTTATTTTCTTTCTCTGAAGCTTCCAGCTTAAACTGAAGGCTCTTCACGTTTGCTAATGCCTCTTCTACTTCTACAATGCCAAAAAATGAACCTAATTATTTAAGTGTTAAAACACTAAATGAAGAATAAACAAATTCAAAACACATACCAATCTTGAGCTTGGTGGAATGAATGTCATAATGCTGTTTGTTTTCAAGCAATTCTTCTTCTTTATCTTGAATATCTTTTGCAAGATGTTTATTTTCTTCTTTCTGACTTTCTATTATTTTAAGTAGTTCTTCATTTTTAGCCTGTAGTGACTCAAGGCCTTTCAGTGATTCTTTCAATTGACTCTGGAGCATCATATTCAAGGACTGCAAAGAAACTACTACCAAAAATAAAACATAAAAAGTTTAAGTGTTTTGTGTGGTACAATTCTAAATCAAACTAAGTTTTTAAATAATCTTGGTAATATGAATTTTGCTTACAGAGAGAAGGGATTTTGAGACAGCAAGATAAAACTGAAGCTTTCTTCTTAAATATCTAGTATGTCATCTCCATTTTAAGACACATGTAAGGAAAAATAATTTGCTCGTCAGCTGAAGGGCTGAGTCTTGCTATGTGGAGTCTAAACAGGCACAACAATCCATGCAAATGCAGTTGCATGATTACACCCATGACACTTAGTTCAGTTGCTACTGAAGGCCACAATATGTACTGTTATTTTTTATTTATATATCTTTATATGTCTATATCTATCTAAACAAAACTTTAACAAAAATGTCCTTAACAAGCATCATTCTCTATTAGTACTTTACATTCATAGCTGCAGTTCTGTCCAGATGCCTTCTCACTTCTTTCTCGTTCCCCAAGTTGCTGGTTTAATATTCTAAGTCTCCTAAATGTGAATTGTGAAAAAGCATAAACTCAGAAATTCAGAATAAGTTCAAAACCACTGCATTTTAAATTAGTTTGGTAAAAAGCTGCTACTGAGAATTAAATGTCACAGAATGTTTCAGAAATATGAAAAAGTTTTAATAATGCATTTTTCTTACATTCCTACATTTGTTCAACACAAAGGACCCTTTGCAAGTTCTGGTAAATATCTTTCCCTCTGTTCTGAAGTAAAGTGCTACCCAGTTATGTATTTGAGAGCTCCCCTGAAATGAGAGACATTTTTCCATTTGAGAATACACTACAAAAGAATATAAGCAGGCTAATTACCTTGATACTGCAGCTTTCAGAGACAATGATACATTGGTCCCACCTAGACAAAGGCCCAATCATGATGTAACTGATGCTACTAAAACATCTGTATTAACTGAAGTCTTGCTATGTGTTAATTATTTAAACTATACAGCCTTATCAACACACTTTCTAATATATAAAAACTGCACAGACAAGAATGAAAGGGCATAACACTTACACCATAACAATGCTAAAATACGCAATTTAGAACAGACCAGTTAAAGATGCTTTAGGTGCATTTGCAGTAAATACAGAATCACTGACGAGTTACTAACCTACGCAGCTGAGCATTTTCACTTCTGAGAGGCTGTAAAGCTAGTGCTATTTCAGCTTGTATATTCATACTTCCCGCTACAGCTGGGAGCAATGATATGCAGTCTTCTATTTCACTCATCAGCCTTAACATTTCCGAATCATCTGCAAGAGGTGAGGGAAAAAAAGACGCCATAAACATATAAACCTGTAATATGACAGTAATATTTTATATGCAATTAAGCAATCCACAAAGTAATATAATAGTATCTGCTTTTTTTTTTCCTAAGAAAATCTCATCTTTATTTTAACTATACTTACTTATTTAAAATTTTGAAGCTTAACTATGAAAACTATGCTTTAGGTTCTTGATAAATCACAACCCACCATCTCTCAGACCAACCTGGGTGGGATTGCCGTTGCAATCTGTCTACATTGTTCCCTTTCTCAGGGGAAAACACTGTATATGAAATGAGAACAATCTGTTACAATCCTTCAAAAAATAATTTAATACTCATCCAGAGTGAAACATGAAGCTATTAAAGTTGTGGAAAACCACTCTACGATGTCACATATCATCTGACACATACAACTTCCAGAAACTGAAGTGCTCACTCATTTAATACAGCTCTTGTGTTATTTGTACGTAATCACCCTACAGCACAATGAAAATGCTCTCACCTTGATCTGTTATCAGTGCTCTGAGCTCTCCCAGAAGATATTTTACAGTCTTAACTTTATTGGCTGTTTCTTCTGGACTTTCTTTTCGAGATTTTAGAACTTTCTTCACAAAACTTGTCTTACAGCTTGAATCTCTCACTGGGGCTATGTCAAGGACATTCAATTCGTCTTCTTCACTGACCATGTCCTCACTGTGTTCTTCAGAAGTATCCTCCTCCTTGTTACTTGAAGCATTATGTTTTGCTGGACAATGATGATGGTGCTTCTGTTCAGTCCTGCTGTTCATCATTTCATGTGATTGTAACAGGGCCAGGTGAGCTTGTATGCATCTTATCAAATCTGCTTCTTTTATCTGTTGCTCATGCTTTGGGGTCACCTCTCTGCCAGAAGATGAGGGGATGAATGTAGGCACCGTACAGTTACTTGAAGCACCTGATGCTATACAAGGGATCACATTAGGAAGAGCAGTGGCAGACTGTATTTGCGCAGCAGCAGTAGGAGCAGCAGAAACCAGTGGGCAAACCACAGGTCCTCCCATCTCTAGCACACATTCATTGCCACTGTCTACAGGAACATCCTGCATAAAGAATATTCATATTAAACAAAAAATATGATTTTTTTTTAAATCTTAAAAAAAAACCCCAACAAACCAAAAAACTCTTGTCTGACTCAATGTAGTCTTGATCATACTTTGCAAATTATAAAAGCAACTATGACTGATTAATTGCATAATTTTCCAGTATATTAAGGAGTAATTAAAATGTAATTCTGGTTTAGATTACCTTTATCTTAAATGCTATTGGCAACATTAAAGCACAGTTCTTTTTTCAGCTGTTCTGTAACAAAAAAATCTCAGCAGTGTTTTGTTTTTGTTTTTTTTTTTGCTTTATTCCATTCCCTGAATCAAACCAGAACAGGGAAGAAAAAAAAATAAAAGATAACACTGTTACCTTTCAATATTGTAAGTAGATGAATTTCTTAAAAGTCAAGGACAGCACTAACTATACATGGATTGCCTGCAGATGGAAGGTAAGTCTACAGTCTTACAGTTTCAAGGTGTGAGCCCTTTACCACATTTCCCAAGGTGGCAGTTGGTACTCTCCATTAGTTCTATTCTATACCCTGAAACACACAAGTATTTTAAAATGGGGCTCTACGATAATACACAGTATCTGAAGAAACAATCAACTTGATCATTGGCAGGGAAAAGCTACATACGAGATATGATTTCTTTTATCAGGAGTTGGTTAATGATCCTGATGTGTCTTGCTGAGAATGTAACTATTAACAGTAATGAATAATTTCCTGCACCTTCCACGTTCACTGTCCATTACAGAATTCACCACGCAGAAAGAAGCAGCCAGTTGAAATGCCTCTAATTTCATTTTTTGGTGTCTATATAAAATGTGTTTTAAATAGCAGTATTTTCTCTCATTATTTATTCTGTTCATCACTATAGGTTGAAATATGAAATTTTTTTCTTTAAGGAAAATTATTACAACACCCAAGAAACCCCCCCCACAAGTAAATATATAAATAAATAGGCAGTGATAATTTAAAACATTTATTAGTAGTCAGAATCAAACTTTTACTTACTGACTGAGTAGATAAGGAATTAGCTGAATGCTGCCCAGACAGAGCTGGTGTGGAGGTAGGTAATCGATAATTAAAAGCTGCAACATTTTGACATCCTAAAAGAAAACAACACTTATAGATCAGGGCAATTTTGGGCAAAACTCATACAGTAAAATAGTAGGCTCTACGTTAATAGTTCCACTAACCGTGATTTGAGGTAGGAAAAGGAGTTACAGCAGGCAGGTCGT